CGAACCGGCAACCTTTCGATCAACCAGTCCACAGCACAGCGGTTTAAACCACTGTACCACCTGCAGTCCCAAGGAATCTCATAAGACCTGGTTAAAACTTGTGTTTCTGGGCTGTTGGGGGAAAATCCAAAGCTACATTGTTAATTTTCCGCTAGGGCTGGGCTGGGCTTAGGGACTGCCCAAGCAGTTGGACAGACTAGTATCTATCAGGAGATTCATCCTGACTGGTTGAAGCTTAGCAGTAATTGGTTTCCTGTAAAGGAGTCCACCTGTAGGGAAGTCACCCACCTAGCACTCTGTAACAACCTATTACACTTTTTGGACAGTTAGAAGATAATAGCAAAAAACAGGGATAATTATGATGAAGTGATGATGTTACATAGTCCGGGACTGACATACATTAAGTTCAGTCATATACATGAAGTTCTTTCAAAAGTTGAAAGTAAACTGCAAATGCCAAATTGTTCTGCTAAAAGACTAAACCACAGCTTACCCAAGTGAGCCATGTAGCTTAGTTCATACCCTTTTTCTAAAAACAAGGGAGTTCTTGGATCAGAAACTTTCGGGTTAGGCGATGAGTTAAGCTAAGGCACCATGTCAGCAGTAGACATGTTCTAGGCTCACATGTTGAATTCACTAACAACTTAGCCTCTGTCCATCCATGACTTCCCTTGGTCTTGGAGCCCCAGCCCTCTTCCTCCGCAGGTTCAGGGAACCCCAGGGCTGTCCCTACCATGAAGCAGAGTGAGGCCATTGCCTCTGGTGGCAGGTGTTGGGGCAGCAGTGGTGGCCTCTCAGCTGTTCCTCTTGAATTCCCCGTGTTATCCACCCCCTTTGCTGGATGACCAACCTGTGTAGACCACACAGCCTGTCCTTTGCCCCCTGGCCTGCTGCCACTAATGCAATGGACGACACTCTCTGCTGTTGAATTAAGTTTCAAGTGCCTGTCTGTAGCCGGGGCACAGAAGGGGTGCCCTCTTGTCTTTGTTCTTCGCTGCAGGAAAGCAGCAAAAAGAAAAAAAGGAACATGTGGAAGCCAGGCAGAGCATGCATCCTACAACTTCAGCATAAAACTGCAACACCACAACCATAGATGAGCAACATCAGAAAGAAGGGAGCGGGAGAGGCATGTTTCAACCAGCAGGAGACAAAACTAGTGCAAAGAATGACTCTGCCCTCGAAATCTGGGACTATAAGAGGCATTATATCACAGGGCTTAAATGCTTGCTATTAAGGTTGTAGTCAAGCATGTTTTAAAAGTACCAGGAAACCCTGGCAACCATCTTTATTGGTGGTGAATGTACGACATCCATAGGATTGCCTACTGAGAACAATTCCTCTTTTTAAAGTTTGGCAAACATTGTCTGTCTGTGTCCTAAGTATTCAGCCTTTGGGACACATTCTGTGTTTGCTCTCAGAAAGAAAATGCACACTGAGAGAATTCTGTTGCAGGCAAGATTGAGGAGGACAAGATGGTGTCTGTGCCCCACGTACAAAACATGGTGCCCCACGCCTGAGGCAGCAGGTTAGTTTTAGGGGGCACAGAGCAAGTTCTGTCCTCCAGCAAAGGGGAACAGGGGAGCTCACTGAGGAAGACCCAGGCCTTCCCAGCACTCACTGCCTGAAGGATTGTCTCATTGTGCCTGTTATTCACTCAGAAAGCAATTTTGTGGAAGCACTCGCAAACAAGCCACACCTTCAGCAATATTCCAGATTTTGAGACCAGTTTTCCAAGAGACCTTCAAGAATCTATTAATGCCAGCCTGATGGCTCCCTGTTGCTGCCCGGGCAGCACCCAGCACCAAGTAGAGAGGCCGTGAGCACTGCCCTTTTCCACCTCATAATGAGCACTGCCGGCTGCCAGACTTTACTTGCTACACAGCTGTGACTCAGGACTGTGTAACCTGGAAGTCAGTGCCTGAACTGGACTGCTCAGTTTCACTCAGGGGTGTTATTACTAACTAGAGAGCTCTCCATGCCACGACAGCCCGGGAGGTTTGCCACAGATCTCGCCTCAAGTCTGTTCCAGACATAGGCTAAACTTGGGCAGTCCTTTTGGTGCCTGGAGGTTGATGTCAGTGGAGTTCAAATTTATATTTGTGAGTGTGTATGTGTCAGTTGACCAGAAGTAGCCTTGGCTTACTTCTCAGACGTATTGAGTCCCTCATGGGCTGTTTGTGTAGCCGGAGGCATCACGGCCCAGGAAAACTGCACAGGGTCTGGCAGGGCCAATACAGGTTGAAGGATGAGTTGGCTAAGGGTGTGTTGGTTGGGCCCCCTCCAATATTGGCATGGCCCTGGTGGGCTTACCCAATGCCACCTGCAGCTTTCTCGTCAGCAGCAGGTGGCCTCCATTTTAACTTTCCACAATGCACTGTGGTGATACTCCATCAGAAGCACTGTGAGAAATGGAAATAACAGCTGCCTAGCACTGAGGAAAATGCTGCTTTTCAAGAGATGCTGACCTGAGGCCCTGTCAGGTATGTGGTGGACCTGTGGTAATTTGGAAGTTTTTTTCTCCCTTTCATCATGACATTGGTCTGTTAGGATTTATTTTAGGAAAGGAAATCCCTGTGATGCCCATGGAACCTTTGGTGCACAAGGCATTCAACCACAAGGACATGGTTTTTAGGAATGGCAGGTACCTTGAGATCCAGCTTCTTGAGATGCCAGCGGCAGAGCTAGGGTAGCGGGAGGGCAAAGTTCTTCATTGATCTGGAAAGAATGGAACCCAATGGGTAAGGATGGGGCCTCAGCCCCCCCCCCCCCATGGAGCAGAGGATGGGGCCCACCCTGTCATCAGTGGTGTAGTGGATTCAGGGTGACCTGGGACACAGTGCAGTCCTACTCTCATGTTAGAAGGGAAGAATACTTCGTAACCTGACCTGAGATTGCCGAGACACCTGCCCCTTTATAAATTCACTAAATATAATATAAATACATGTCACCTGCCAGACGCTTCGAGATTCCTTGTGCCTTCCGAACTTAGCTGCAGTCTTCTCAGTAGCTGCAGGGAGATGAATTTGCCCAGAAATGATATATTGTTTAATGTGAACTATTTTGAGATGGCTTGGTCTTGAATAGGCAATAGAGAAGCATTAGCTTTGCTGAAGACTTGCTCCGGATGGAAATGAAGCTGCTAAAATTGGATTGCTGGAGAGATCAGGGCAACCGCCTGCAATTTTGGGTTCTTTTTGGGGATGTGGTTATGGGGACTGTCATGATGAATCCCTGCACATCAAAATTTACCTCCACAGCACTGCCTTGCCCCAGGAAGATCCCAGCTGTGCCTAGCGAGACAGACAGGTCAGTGAAGAATCATTGTGATGCACTCAGGCCTAACAAAAAATAGCCATCCACCCCTGAATCTGGTTCCTTGCTGAGATTTTATACCTTCTTTGAAAAACTGCTGCCATCACTGATACTTCAGTTCAAACTTTGACTCAGTAGTCATGTGGTACCTGTCAATTTCAGTGCAAATCCAGAGAATCTCAGCTACTGGGCAGTATACTGGGCAATTAAAGAATTAAATATTGATATGACGAGCTGGAAAAGAGTGCAGTAACCTAAAATCAGGGAACACAAAGTCTAAATGAGGTCATGTCTTTATTTCACGTATAACCAACATAATTGTCACTTCTTCTGCCAGTGTCGTGTTGTCCACTCTAATAAACCTTTTTGTTGATTTCAGTTAAGGCGTGTGTTGAGCTGAGTCAAACTCACCATTGAATAGAAATTTCATCATCATCAGAAGCCCAGCAGGTGGAGAGGCAAGGCCTTCTCTACTGTGGGACCAAGGTCATGGAGCACCTTCCTAAGGAATATCCACCTGCCTGGGATCACTGCGTGTGTTCTAGTGAGAAGCATACACTCTGAAAACCTCTCTTCTCAATATGCCTTTGCCAGGGCTGGAAGCTGAGGGAAGACAACTTCCAATGAGTTTTGTTGCTGCTGAATGGAACTAGAGCTGTTTTCATAGTTCCATGTTTTGTTTTAAACTTTTGGGTGTGGTTTATAGTTTCATGTGTTTTTATGTTAAAGTTGTCAGTCACCCATGGGATTTCTTGAAATAAGCTCTGAGTCTAGGTGGGCTTGCAGGAGCCATTAAGCAGAGAAGAGCAGACAGCTAAATCTGTTTCCAAAGTGTGCTTGCTCCTGTGAAGCTGCACTGAAAGCAAGCAATGGGATTTGCTGCATTGGTAGGCACACATTTCTCATACAAAGGAAGTTGTTGTCTTTTTGTGACTGTTTGAGGATGAGGAGGACGACTTAGTATGAAAGAAGTCACCAAGCCCAACTCTGTTCTGCACAACAGCTAGATTGCCAATCAGCTCTGTGTTGTGGAGAATGGACTAGGCTAGAGCTGGGACCAGTCTTACTCTGCATTTTGGATCTATCGCTTGTGCAGCTATAGCTGATTTCTACATTGATCGAGAGAGAGATGTTGGCACATCTGGGAAGTACAGACAGGAACAGATCTGGGAACCGGTGGCAGGGGGGCAGTTGCCCTCTATGACAGACAATTTAATTTTCAATTTTTATTTCTAAGTTTCTGCTGGAGAGGGTTACTGCCTCCTCAGCTCCTGGAACCAGGCTAGGGTGCAAATCCTGACAATAGTGATTTGATCTGGAGTCCAGGAGGTAAGATTCAGGCCCGTTTACATCAGAATGTGCAAAGAATGAAATCCTCAAGCATCCCCAACTGTTACTACCTAGTTGTGCTTCCATTTCCCATTGATCTTTTTGATTACTGTAGTCCAGACGGAAATGAATTTGTTTCCACACAGAGAACCCATCATGTAAAAAAAAAAAAAGTGTTGTTCATAGTGAACAAGCAAACTGGACTGCAAAAGAACAAAGCACGGTAAAATAGTTCTTCACTGTCTCTCTGCTGGGCCAAAGAGACTTGGCTTGGGCTAACCCAGATGAGTCAATTCATTCAGGCTCTGTGCAAGAAAACAAACAAGCTGAGAAACAAAAGCCACACAACATGTCCAAAAGAGAAGCCAAAAGAACAAACGTTGTGGTTTATGTTAAACCTTTTACAAAATAATACAATAAATGATTCAATAAATAGAAAAAAATTACAAAATTACAGGATTCTTTTTAATACAGGAAAACAAAGGAATAAAACCAAAAACTTTAAACTAACCGACTAGCTGGCTCCGAAGTGGAGCTGTGCAACAAACCAACATCTCCACCAACACTAAGGGCCAGGAGGTGCCGAGCACAGGGCGCCCCCCTGGCCCCATGCGCACAAAAAGGAGCTCCTTCTGGGCCCCTTGCCTCTTCATATATATTAACTTTTAAAACATCATCTCGTCTTCACAATAATCTAATTAGTAGCATGAGCTTGTTGTGGTTTGTTCCTGAGTAGATTTATCCAGCAGAAAAAAGTGGGATTTTGGAACGGGATGTTTGTGGAAATGTCATTAAGCACCCCGCAAGTGGCCACTTAGAATCCCCCCCACCCACCGTGCCTCTGTGGGAAGAGCTAGTCTCTCACATGGGGCCAGGCTGACTGCCGGAGCAACCAATATCTTACCGGTGCAAGCCAAGCAGGTGGGATCGAAGAGTTGCACCCCACTGCCCTCAGCGATGCCACAAGGAAATACTGGGGCAGGGAGGGCACCTCTTGGATCGCATGGCACAGCCACCTGGCATGGCCAGTGCCTCAGGCAGGCCCAGCACCTAGCAGAGTCATCTTGGTCTGAAAGAGGGGAGGAGGTTTGAGGTATGAGCTGTCTATTCACCAGCAGCTCCAGAATGCTGTACTGGAGGAGTCAGGGAGTAGGAATCCTTCAGTTGCAGGAGTCTGAGGGGCATTAACTGGAAACGGGCAGGGAGGGACAACCACAGCACAGGGCACAGCCCCTCCTGTGCCCTTCGTCCCCCACGCTGCAGGCAGGGTCTGGAGCCAGTGTGTGACCCATGAGCACAGGCAGGGGAAAGCAGAAATACTGACAGATTCCAGAGGGGGTGTTGGGGAGGAGGGCAACTTTGGGAGGGCAGCATGGTCCCCAATTGCACACTGGGAAGGTAAGAGTGGGGGCCTGACCAGAGATCTAGTTTGCTTGGAGTGGGAGAAGCTGCAGGTCTGTGAGAGAGCGTGCATGCATGTGTGAGGCATGTCACCTGTGAGGGCAAGCCGAGGCTGAGGGTCCGGCGCAATGCACTTCTGGTCTCTTCCAAAAGTACCACCCCGTGAAAGACGCGGCCAGCTCCTAGCTTTACACCTCTGACCCACCCTCCACCACCACCCTTTTCACAGAACTCAGCCAGAGAGTGCCCAGAACATTTCCATCTGTGGCTGAAGATCTTGGGAGTCCTGCTGCCAGTCCCGCAGCTGAACATCCCTCTGGTCATGCTCAGGCTTAGGGAACAACTGTGCCAGCCGCGCCTAGGTCAGGCGGCCTGCTGCAAGGGCTTCTGGGCCGTGTGCTTTCAGTGCAACAGGACAGCAACCTGAATGCCGTCTGTGCAGGAAGGCATCAGCACCGGCACAAGGGAACATGGGACCCTCCAACTGTTGGACGGCAGCTCCCATAATCTCCTGCCTCCGGCTATGCTGGCTGGGGCTCGTAGGAGTTGCAGTCCAGCAATGCCTGGAAGGTCCCATGTTCCCCACCACAGCGTCAGCACTTGCAGAGTGAGGTCCCCTGGGCTGCAGGGATGCTCCTGCCTCTCCCCTCACATGCACATTTATTCAGAGGTTCAACAGAGGTTTGGTTATTTCAGACATAAAGGGACTTGGAACTATGGGGAAAGTGGGATTGGGACTTGGGCACAGAGATCGCATGTAGGGCTCTAAGCAGGGAATAGGAAGTAGGTCCCCATGCATCCCACCCCAGCTTGCATAAATGAGGCCGCACCAGCCCCCATCATCACTGGGTTGGAACTACAACATTGGAGCAGTAGCAGTGAAATTCCATGAGACCCCACCAAGACCTGGATCCTGCAGACCAGTGGGGAAACGCCTGTGGTCATGCGGCAAGCTAATACTGAAATCGGCAACTCCTGCAACCAAAGCGCAGGCCCAGCTCCTTCCTTTCCCCACTGATGGAGCCTGTGGAAAGCTGAAAGCTTCAACTTTTGAGGGGCTGTGCCCAGCCCAGGTGATGCAGGTCCCCCAACCCCGGGAAGTGCTGTCCCATCTGCTCAGTCCTGTAGCCCTGGGCCCTGCACTGCAGGGGGGAGAGACCTTGCTGCTTTCCCCCTTCACAGGCCGGGGGGCCCTGCCTGGCCACATACCCAAAGCACACGTGCCCCCAGGGAAGCAGAGCTTTCCACCCCACCCTCCAAGCCAAAGTGCTTCTGATCAAAGGGGAGAGATGTCCCGCTGGCTGTCCTTCCCCCCTTAGCCAAAGCAGTCCCTCCCCAAAGTGCCCCCTAGCCAAAGCGCTCCCGCACAAGCAACATCAGTTTCTTCTTGCCCTTGTAGGTCTGTTTGAGGTTGTCAAGGAACTGGCTGAAGCGCACGTGCCCTTCATGTGCCATCAGGAAGGTCTCGCGGGCTTTTCCCAAGAACTCAATGAATTCGCCGTAGTGCCGGGGACTGATGTGGGTGAGGCGCGAATGGGTGGTGCTGATGTAGGCAGCCATGGCCGCTTCCAGGAGCTGGCAGAGCGGGGCCTTGTCCATAGCAAACAGCTTCCCTCCAGCCCCGGTGCCCCCTGCACCTCGGCGCCCCCCACCCAGCGAGGCAAGGCCTGGAGTAGGGAGGCTCCAGCGATGCAAGATATCAGACAGCATGGGGGCGCACTGCACGCTCTTGATGATGAGAGGGACAATGGCGGCCAGCTCGTTCTTCCCCAGGGACTGGCTGAGGGAGCAGGCCCAGAGGACGTCGTTGAGGGCGGGGTGGGTGTCCTGGTTGAAGGCGATGTTGAGGTGGGAGAAGGCCAGGGTGGCCAGCTTGTAGGCGCGTATCGGCAGCCCGCGGTGCTCCATGTACCGGGCCACAGTGAAGAGGTGGGAGTGGCCCATGCCTGCGGAGGCTGCCGAGTCTAGCACAATCTGGTAGGCTGCCTCGAAGGCGGCGTGGTTCTTCTCACAGAGCGTCAGAGCTGGCAAGGCACAGTTCTGTGGGTCCTTCATGGCGCACTGCAGGGCCAGTGTCCGGGCGCAGCTGCACAGCTCGTCCCGCTGCCCGGCGCTCAGGCTCAGCCGCAGCAGCGTGGCGTGTGTTGTGCCTGTCACTGCCACGATGGTCGTGGCCTCAATGGGTGTGAAGAGTGTGTACCAGTTCTGCATGATGTTCATCAGGGCCTGGACACCTGGCAGGGGTGGGGTGGGGTGGGGAGCAGAGAAAGGGGCAGGTTGCAGGGTTAGTCACAAAGGCCATGACGCACGCACGAGTCTCAAGGGGAGACCCCGAAGCCACCGGGCAACCTTGGAGCAGGGGCAGTAGCTGTTGTGTACAGAGGCAGTGTGGGGAAAAGGGGCCCACCAAGCCAGGGCAGGCCAAGGTTTCCTCACAGCCAAACAAACATCCGTGGAAGATTCTGCAGCCCTCACGCCTGCTCACCTATCTCCGTGGCACAGCTGACGAGCCAGCGAACCATTTCTCTGCGACGCCAGGTCATGGTGTTGAGCGTCATTCGCATCACCTGGGGGAAGAACAGGGGAAGACAGCTGTTCTCAGGGCAGCCCTCATGCTGGGGGGACCAGGCTTCACACGCCCGCCAACCACCTCTCCCCCAGAGCACGACACTGATACACTGCTACTGCTACAGGCACCCGCAGGTGCAACACAGCGGCAGCCAGTGGGGAGCATGGAACCCAGAGCCTCGCACCTGAATCCCTGAGTGGCCCTTTGCTGAAGCAGCCCCTGCCAGCTCCCCTGCTGTAAAACCAGCCTTCAGAGGAGCGCTGGGTGAGGGGGCTATGGTACAGCAGCTGGGATCACCTCTAGGGGAAAGCAGCATCACCCAAATGCAGCAAAGGCACTCCTGGCACCTAGTGGCTGCTCCAAGCAGCTGGACTTGGCACTCTGCAAGAGCTGGAAGCAGCACAGTGGAACCAGAGGGAGAGCCCCGAGGGAAGGTTAACTGCCTGTCTCCACATGCTGAGAACGTCTGGGCTGGGCTCCCCTTGCCCTGTCCTCCACCCAGCCATCCAGCGAAGCTCCTGCATCAGCAGGAGCCCCCGGCCAGCAGCCAAGTTCAAATCTGCTTAAAGACATCTGTATTCGGCCAGCCTGGCTAAAAATCAGATGCCTGGCAGGAGCTGTCACCAGACAGATCAAAATGGGCACTTTGTCTGCCTGACACATTGTCAGAAGTCGGAAAGACATCCCTACCTGTTTTTTAGAAATAGACAGTATAGGCATCAGCCCTCCATGAACAAAGCATCAGATACAAGTACACACTGTTGACAGAAAAATTTGTATGTGGCTATTTAACTGACTATCATGAGTAAATTTCTTGGATAGAGAAACCTCTTGTTTAGCCAGGCAGGAACTGATTTTCAGCAGGCACTGAAGGTAGACAATGAACAAATGGTGCAGAGGGAAAATTCACTATTTAAAGAACCTTTGTAAAGTTTAGTGACCTTGGGACATACATGGAGATGTATAAGAATTTATTTCAATGTACAGATTGCTCAGAAATGCCCCATTTGCAATCCTGAATGTGAACAAGAGCACACATTCTCCAAAAAATAGTTCAAATTTCTGTATGTGTAGTTGGAAAGTGTGTACTTGCAAGATGGGCAACTTTTCTAAAGCACCCAACCTCCTCACAAAGTACAACTTTCAGGGGGGGGAGTATCCCCATCAAACAAACAAAAAAACCTGTTTGCTAGGGAGAATGGTAGGAGGCTGAATTGGGCTTTGGAATAACATCTAGAGAATTTCATTGAGCAAAAGCGTTCCTGGTTCTCCTGTTGCTAGGAACACATTGCCCGTATCACGGGGAACACGTCTGCATGAAAACTTCAACTGTCCCTGCTCACCTGCAGCCCGAGCTCCAGGGAGATGTTAAGCAAGGTGGTGTCTGGAGGAGTGTTGGCTGGTGTCGCAGTCTTGCAGGCATCTTGGGCCAGTTTGAACAGCAGGGCTGGAGAATGAATATTTTGCTGGATGGAGCCCAGGACCATGCGCAGCCAATTGGGGTCGCCTAGAATGAGCCAGAAAGGAAGGAGGGAAGGAAGCATCCAGTATTACACCTTCTGCAAACCTGGGGGCAGCATCCAATTCTCAGCCTCCCTGCTCTGAACGACTGTGTCTCTCTCCCTTCAGAGGAGGAGAGGTGGTTGCTCCCCAGTTTCTGAGCTTCGCTCTCCTCCTACATGACTGGGGCTACCTTTAGCAGCAGTGAGCATGGCAGACGCAAGTTCACACTGCCGGGTTTCTAGGTGCCCCAGGGTAAACCAGCGGGGGAAGCGATTGGCCAACATGGAGTCCAGGGGATTCTGGTGTAGGATGTCACTCGCTGGCAATACCGTCTCCAACACTGGCAGCCTGCAGAGATGGGGAAAGGAACCAAGTCAAGTGGCCACACTGAGAAGACGACAATCCCCATCCCACATCCATCAGACTTGGTGGGCCCACTAAGGGAAGATTGACTGCACACAGATCTGGGGGGAACTGATTTTATTTAAGGGGGTGGGTATTAAGAAATGGGAGTGAGTTAGATAATGGCTCGCTGTGGAAAGGGCACTAGTTTCAAGGTCACGATCTGCAGCATTTTAACAGCAGCAGGAGCTAACACGCAATGACCTGGGGAAGAAGCATAGATGTATACTGGACGGGTGGGGAACAGAGCAAATTGAAACATATAAAAGTGCAGTGTTTATTTCATTTCATTTCATTTCATTATTTTATTTTATTATTTGGCTGGGTCTTGGCCACAAGGCATGGCAAGAGCAGTGAGGGGCAGGGGAACACTGGCAGCCAGTGGAGAGGAGAGCATTTGACTGGGCTGGGGAGAGCCAAGTTCAAGTTCCCACTTGACCATGAAGTTCACTGGCTGACTTAGGGCCAGTCACTCCCTCTCAGCCTAACTGGGTTGTTCTGAGGATAAAATGGAGAAGAGGGGATCATGTAAGCCCCATGGGCTGCTTGCAGGGGGAGCAGGTGGGGCACAAGCAAGCAACAAACAGTACATAAGGCATAAACAGTGGCAGAAGTAGAAGAGATGGCTTACATACCTCATGGCCCGCAGCGCCAAGCGGTAGGCCAGCTCAGGGTCATAGGGCAGCATAGCAGTGAAGAGGTAGCGGGCAAAAGTGTGCATGGGAACGCTCTCACGGAACACGACCTCCCCAAATCCGCTGAAAGGGCCCCCTGGGAGAAAGAGACAGGCAGCCGATTATTAAGAAAGGCAGCGCCATGAGCAGCCCAGGTGCTGGTGCCCGGAAGATCCCTGGAAGCAGAGAAGCAGAGTGCGCATGGATGGACCCAAGAAGCTGGCCTGGCTGCCGCCTGCTGGGATGGCTGTCCCTTCCCAGGCTCTCAGGGTTGGGTAGGGCCCATGTGCCAGCACTTCTAGCTCACGAAGGCCACTGGTGCAGGGCCTGCATGCCCAGGGCAGGCAGAGTCCCTGCACCCCCCAGTGCCACACAGTCTGGGCCAGCCCCTGCTGCTTCTGCAGGGCCAGCCCCGTCCCAGGGCTGCCTGCATGCTGGAGCAGGGTCACCCTCAGGCTTGTGGACTGGCGCGCCATCGCTTGCAGCTCAGTCGCTCTATGCCAGACCAGAAGCGTCCTGACTGTGACTGGGCTGTGCTGCAGTGGGTGGCAGCGGGGCACTGCCTTCACTGGTACAGTTGCCGCTGCTGCCCAGTTTGGGACATCTTTGTGCTGGCCACCAGGGATTCGGAAGAGAAGCCCGCTGTGTCCTCTTTCCTCCAGGCGGCATTCCTTTCCCCCACCCATCCCTCCTCCTCTGCTCTCCTGAGTGGTCGGGGCAGACAGACATCTCATCTCACACGGTCCAGCCATCCTTCACCTACCATCCAGCAGCAGGGCTGCTTGCTTGCGGAGCACGGAGACCAGCCTATCGTCCAGCTCCATCTCGTCCAGGAGCCCAATCAGCTGCTCCTCGCTGCGCACCACCTTGTCCTGAGCGTACAGCCCCTCCGGCATAGACCTCTGCTGCCCCAGCCCCAGCAGCGCCACCTCCAGGGCCAGGGTGAAGTACGACTCGCTAGGACTCGAGGGCACGGGAACATGCTGGTAAAGGGCCTTCTTGGGCTCTGCCGCAGCGTCTGGGGACGGGCAACACAGACAGCACGGCTGAGCAGAGGGCAGCAAATGGAATGGCCTGCTGCCTCTGAAGCAGTCTAGGGCTCAGTGAGGCAGCTTCCCCTCCCCATAACCACCGCTCCGGACATATCATGGCCCTGCTGGCGACAGGGACATGCCCAAGCATGTGCAAAGCCTGCCGACTGCAGGGCTGCAGAAACCCAGCACCCTCTCTCCTTGAGCTAGCACAGGCTCAGCCATTCCCCACAAGAAGCAGCTCCCCTGGCTATCACACCAGACTGTCACCTGCTCCTCTGTGTGGAATGTAGGCAGGGGCAAGGTGCTGATGCTGGAGGAGCTCAATTCTGAAGGACTGGCAGGTTTCCTGCCACCCCTATACCCGGCCTGCTCCTGTCCCCCACCCTGCAGCACCTGGGTACAGGGCCAGCCCCTCGTCGTCCATCCGGGAGGCCTCCAGAAAGGTATGGCAGAGGCAGCCAATGGGGTCCAGGGGGTGCCCTACCCATCCTTCCAGGTTGGTGATGTTAGTTGTGCCTTTGTTCAGCAGCTCTGTGGGGGAAAGAAGCAATGATCCATCACAAACCACTCCTGGTGCTGTGGCAGCTCCAGACCAGGCATCAGAACCCAAGAGCAAATCCATGCATGCATGGAACAGGCGCAAAGCAGCCCAGGTCCTGCTGCCGAGGCCCACAACACGGTGCTCTCCCTTCCCGTTGCGCTAAGTCCTCTCATGCTTCCAAGCACGGGTGGGCAACATGTGGCCCTCAGGCATCTCAGAGAACTTTGGCTGTAGGGCGGTACAGACAGAAATCTCTCTCCCTCCCCCACTCCCATCAGCATAGCTGAGAGGTGATGAAAGCTGCAGGCCAATGTATTGGCAGGGCTGCTGCACTGCTCAACCCTGCTTTAAAGCAGCAGGGGTCTGCAATGCACATGCCAGCTCACCAAGTGCCCTTTTGGTTCTGGCAAAGGCCCCAGCCTTTTTTGGAACCTGACCTCAGAAACACGGGGAAATCCGTGCCAGCAGCTGTCCCTGGCCACACAACCCCTGCCCTTCTCTGGGCTCCTGTGACTCCTCCCCAGCCCTGCCCCCCTAGACCCTCCACTACCGAAGCTGGGGGCTTCTGTGCGCGGGGCTGGTGCTCTGCGACCAAGCTCTGGCTCCTCCCCAGCCTAGTCAATGGCAGCCAGGCACCCCCCTCCCC